TTTTCTTTGTGTGTCTGTCTCTCTCTGTCTCTCTTTGTATCTTTCTATCTTTCTCTCTGTGTCTCTCTTTCTGTCTCTGTTTTTCTCTTTTTCTTTGTGTGTCTGTCTCTCTCTGTCTCTCTTTGTGTCTCTTTCTATCTTTCTGTGTCTCTCTTTCTGTCTCTGTTTCTCTTTTTCTTTGTGTGTCTGTCTCTCTCTGTCTCTCTTTGTATCTTTCTATCTTTCTCTCTGTGTCTCTCTTTCTGTCTCTGTTTCTCTGTGTCTGTTTCTGTGTCTTTGTCTCTCTTTCTCTCTTTCTGTGTGTGTGTGTGTCTTTCTCTGTGTGTATCTCTGTCTTTCTTTCTCTTTTTCTCTGTCTTTCTCTTTCTCTCTCTCTCTCTTTCTTTCTCTCTTTCTCTCTCTCTGTCTCTCTCTGTCTGTCTCTCTTTCTCTCAGGATCTCCTTGGACCAGCTTACTCTCCGTGGCCATCCTGAAACTCGGCGAATCCGGAGACCTGGACTACCTCCGCAGCAAATGGTGGGAGAGCAGCTGTTCCCACGAAGACCACGACAAATGGAGTCCTCTGAAGCCCCAAACTCTGGGGGGGATTTTCCTCCTCCTGGCGCTGGGCCTCGTCTCGGGAATGCTGGTGGCCGTGATTGAGCTGTCCAAGCGAAGCCGTCACACGGCCGAACAGGAGAAGGTGAGCTGGCTTCCGTTTTTCCCACGCTAGCCCACACGGGTAGGGGGGGGGGGAAACACGCGGCTGAGAACGCCTGAATCCAAGCAATTGAATAACGTGCAGGTAGTCCTCACCTTACGACCGCAATTGAGCTCAACGTTTGTTGCTAAGCGAGATAGTGACGCGAAAATTGTGCTCCATTTTACAACCTTTCTTGCCACATTGTCAATGTTAGTAACGTGGTTGTAGAGTGTATAAGACGCACCCAAATTTTCACCCTCTTTTAGGAGGTGGAAAAGCGCATCTTATACTCCAAAAAAATACAGTAATTTATTTGATGGGCTTTGAAGCCCTGGGCGCCATTACCTGACGTTCTCAGAGGCTACCAAACGTTATATGGTTTTTTTTAAAAGGGGGGGAGAAGATTGGAAAAAGAATCTTTTAACCTCCTTTTCCCCCAACTCCTCCCCCCCCTCTTTTGCCAACTTCAGAAATCTTGCTGTTCCGCGTTCACCAGGGAGCTGAGCCAGCGGTTCCAGGCGCGAGAAAACAGGCAGGAAAACGCAGAAAAATCCAAGGCGTGAAGAAACAGGGCAGGAACCCGCGGCCAAATTTTCAACGAACTATATTTCCCGCACCACCCCTTTTCCTCCTATGCGATCTGTAAAAGCACACGTAGGGTATTTCTCCCCCCCCTCCCCCAGTAATAATTCCTTTTTATAACAGTTAGCAGAGGTTTTTGGGGGCACATCTGGGCAAAAACTAGCATAGTTTCTCGCTGCTAAGGCAAAAAAAAAATCCTAGAGCCCTTTTTTTTTCTCGTTAAGACAAACCGGATTGTCAGTTAACCACGGTTTCGGCACCATTAACATTAACATTCACATTGGTAGCGTTGTGGAGCGGCTGGTTTTGTTGGGGGGGGGGAGAGGGGGCCGTCGTAAAGAGAAGGCAGAGTGGGTCTCCATACGTAGGAATGGGAGAGAAGAAGGGGGCACCCAGCGAGAGTCAAAACGGAGCTTCGGGATCCCGCGAGGACAGGTTTCTAGTCCTCATGAGCCCGAGAGAAACAGATGGAGAGGCATTGTGCCTGAGGCTTTCCAAGATGGTTCTTTAAAATTCAAAGAAAATGTAAACTTGCTAAATTGATGAGGGGAAGATGCTTTTTCTTGGCCCGAGATTTTAATAAATTAGCATAAGTTTACATACAAAGGGGCCCTTTGCTAACAGCAGAAGATCTAAAAGGGGTACAGATTATCCAGAATTTGGAGACTCCTGGGTGGGTGTCGCAAAGAAGGGGGGGTTGGAAGACATGACCCCCTCCTCTTAAAAGTGGCTTTTTTCCCCCCAAGTTCAAGGAAAGATCCATATAATCCCCCAGGGCCAATGGATGGAAATAAAGTCCTCCCTGCGAGGTGGGACAACGAAGACACTTTGCAAGGCCAGGACAGGATCCGCAGGGCAGTCTAGAAGTTACACAACGACTAAATAAAAAGAATGTTGTGACAAAATGCTCTTTTTTTTTAATACTTGCAACTCGCCAAATTTTTACTGGCTGTTTTCTTGACTTTTTTTTCCAAAGACCCTTTCAATCTGGGAGGGGGTGGCGGAGAGATGGGGGGGGGGGATTCTGGACCGTGGCAACCTCGTCTGTTGTGATGCCCGTAGTAAAACAGCCTGGTTTATGACGGTCCAGCGAGAAAGCTATTAACGGATGGGAGGCGGCTGATCCGGAACGGGCAGAATCAACTCTCCTGCCTTTTCATTCATCGCCCACACGCAAAACCCTGGCAAGGGCGATGCCGGAGAAGAGCGAATTGGAGATGGATGTCCTCACAAGCGACTCTCCCCGAGAAGTGAGTAACCCCCCCTGCTCTTCTTCAACTGACATTGGACTAGGAAGGGGCCAGGGTCCTTGGCTCAGGTTAGACGTCACTCTCCTTGGGACTTGGGTGCGAACCAGGAAAGCTTCTGCTCTGCTCCTCAGAACTCTATGGCAAAGTACGGCTTTAGCCATTAAGGAGGTACATACATACATACATACATATAAAGGTAGGTAGGTAGGTAGGTAGGTAGGTAGGTAGGTAGGTAGGTAGGTAGGTAGGTAGGTAGGTAGGTAGGTAGGTAGGTAGGTAGATAGATAG